AAAATCCTCAACAAAATACTAGCAAACAGAATCCAACAGCACATTAAAAGGATCATACACCATGATCAAGTAGGGTTTATTCCAGGAATGCAAGGATTCTTCAACATATGCAAATCAATCAATGTGGTACACCATATTAACAAACTGAAGGAGAAAAACCATATTATCATCTCAGTAGATGCAGAGAAAGCTTTCGACAGAATTCAACACCCATTTATGATAAAAACCCTGCAGAAAGTAGGCACAGAGGGAACTTTCCTCAACATAATAAAGGCTATATATGACAAGCCCACAGCCAACATCGTCCTCAATGGTGCAAAACTGAAAGCATTTCCACTAAGATCAGGAAGAAGACAAGGTTGCCCACTCTAGCCATTATTATTCAACATAGTTTTGGAAGTTTTAGCCACAGCAATCAGAGAAGAAAAGGAAATAAAAGGAATCCAAATCGGAAAAGAAGAAGTAAAGCTGTCACTGTTTGCAGATGACATGATACTATACATAGAGAATCCTAAAGATGCTACCAGAAAACTACTAGAGCTAATCAATGAATTTGGTAAAGTAGCAGGATACAAAATTAATGCACAGAAATCTCTGGCATTCCTATATACTAATGATGAAAAATCTGAAAGTGAAATCAAGAAAACACTCCCATTTACCATTGCAACAAAAAGAATAAAATATCTAGGAATAAACCTACCTAAGGAGACAAAAGACCTGTATGCAGAAAATTATAAGACACTGATGAAAGAAATTAAAGATGATACAAACAGATGGAGAGATATACCATGTTCTTGGATTGGAAGAATCAACATTGTGAAAATGACTCTACTTCCCAAAGCAATCTATAGATTCAATGCAATCCCTATCAAACTACCACTGGCATTTTTCACAGAACTAGAACAAAAAATTTCACAATTTGTATGGAAACACAAAAGACCCCGAATAGCCAAAGCAATCTTGAGAACAAAAAATGGAGCTGGAGGAATCAGGCTGCCTGACTTCAGACTATACTACAAAGCTACAGTAATCAAGACAGTATGGTACTGGCACAAAAACAGAAAGATAGATCAATGGAATAGGATAGAAAGCCCAGAGATAAACCCATGCACATATGGTCACCTTATCTTTGATAAAGGTGGCAGGAATATACAGTGGAGAAAGGACAGCCCCTTCAATAAGTGGTGCTGGGAAAACTGGACAGGTACATGTAAAAGTATGAGATTAGATCACTCCCTAACACCATACACAAAAATAAGCTCAAAATGGATTAAAGACCTAAATGTAAGGCCAGAAACTATCAAACTCTTAGAGGAAAACATAGGCAGAACACTCTATGACATAAATCACAGCAATATCCTTTTTGACCCACCTCCTAGAGAAATGGAAATAAAAACAAAAATAAACAAATGGGACCTAATGAAACTTCAAAGCTTTTGCACGGCAAAGGAAACCAAAAGATCAAAAGACAACCCTCAGAATGGGAGAAAATATTTGCAGATGAAGCAACTGAAAAAGGATTAATCTCCAAAATTTATATGCAGCTCAATAACAAAAAAACAAACAACCCAATCCAAAAATCGGCAGAAGACCTCAATAGACATTTCTCCAAAGAAGATATACAGATTGCCAACAAACACATGAAAGAATGCTGAACATCATTAATCATTAGAGAAATGCAAATCAAAACTACAATGAGATATCATCTCATACCAGTCAGAATGGCCATCATCAAAAAAATCTAGAAACAATAAATGCTGGAGGGGGTGTGGAGAAAAGGGAACACTCTGGCACTGCTGGTGGGAATGTGAATTGGTACAGCCACTATGGAGAACAGTATGGAGGTCCCTTAAAAAACTACAAATAGAACTACCATATGACCCAGCAATCCCACTACTGGGCATATACCCTGAGAAAACCATAATTCAGAAAGAGTCATGTACCAAAATGTTCATCGCAGCTCTATTTACAATAGCCTGGAGATGGAAACAAGCGTCCATCGTCGGATGAATGGATAAAGAAGATGTGGCACATATATACAATAGAATATTACTCAGCCATAAAAAGAAACAAAATTGAGCTATTTGTAATGAGGTGGATAGACCTAGAGTCTGTCATACAGAGTGAAGTAAGTCAGAACGAGAAAGACAAATACCGTATGCTAACACATATATATGGAATTTAAGAAAAAAAATGTCATGAAGAACCTAGGGGTAAGACGGGAATAAAGACACAGACCTACTAGAGAACGGACTTGAGGATATGGGGAGGGGGAAGGGTAAGTTGTGATAAAGCGAGAGAGAGGCATGGACATATATACACTACCAATCGTAAGGTAGATAGCTAGTGGGAAGCAGCCGCATAGCCCAAGGAGATCAGCTAGGTGCTCTGTGACCGCGTGGAGGGGTGGGATAGGGAGGGAGACGCAAGAGGGAAGAGATATGGGAACATATGTATATGTATAACTGATTCACTTTGTTATAAAGCAGAAACTAACACACCATTGTAAAGCAATTATACTCCAATAAAGATGTAAAAAAAAAAAATTTAAACCTAAAAGTGAATGGGGAGAATGCAAATTCTTCATCTGACTGCCCGTGTGATCTATGCCTTGTTACTCTTGGTAGGAAAACTATGGTGTCTACGGCTGTGAAATTTCTATTCTGTGATATCTGTTGCCCTGCTCTGCTGCTGGGAAGTAGTGTCTTCACTGTTCTCTGGTTGCCCCAGTGAGTTAAATGCAAATACTATTTTTCTTTTGTTGTTATTAGTATTACTTACTGCATCTTTGTTTCTATTGTATTTAGTTTTTGAAACAATCTCAAAGTCACAGAAAAATTCCCAAGTGTGGTACAAATAACTATATTCCTGAAGTATAATATTTGAAAGTAAATTGGGAACAAGATGTCCCAATACCCCCAGAATACTCTAAGTATTTCCTACAACAAGGATATTCTCTTGGATAACAGTAATACAACCATCAAAATCAGGAAACTAACATTGGCACTTTACTACTGTCTAATCCTAGACTCCATCCCAGCTTCCTGTGAGCCTCTGGTCACAGCATTTCCATCAGTGGATCAACACATGACCTTACTTTATGTGTATTTCTGTTTAAGGTGTCTCTCTCTCTTTCTCCTCTCTCTCAATAAATAGGCAGATGATTCATTATCATGAAACTCATGGCTCATAGCTCATGTCTGAACGAAGCTAATCTAACACATGCCTTTTCTAATCAAACTGTCAAAAATTAAATACAAAGAAAACATACTAAAAGCAGCAAGGGAAAAACAACAAATAACACACAAGGGAATCCCCATAAGGTAAGGCACAGCATAGCCTTCTTGCACTCAGGAACACTACACATAACACTTCAGTACTATGCTTAGAGGCCATTTTAAACAGTGAAATAAATCACCAACAAACAGCACAAAACTGCAAAAATCGTGGCCATTAAACAGACTGTGAAAAGGACATGTGCACACACCATTGTATTTGTTATCGTTTGTTACATTTACAATTATTTCTATCTCTACCAACATGTTGAAAACCACAAGTTCACACCAGTATCTCCTATTCCCAAACACCATGGGGTACATTTGAATTTTCTCCTTTTTCATATTTGTCATTCCCTTTTCACATAACAGAAAACCCAGCTCCCATCATCCTTAATATTATCTACTTATTAGATCCACCCCTTGCAAGTTACTGACCCTCCATTGCTGTCCTCGTCTCCACACCCCTCAGACACATCCTCCTCGCCCTACTGAGCTCTGACATCTGGTGCCAGGTCAGCCCTCAGTGAGAACGCCTTCCTCACACATCTGGGCTGCAGCAGCCTGAACCACACCACCACCTCCTCCCCGAGAACACCCTTCTCCCTGTGTCCCTCGTGTGGATGCCTGCCTTGCTCAGTAGCTCCTAATGTCTTTTGGACTGAATTGTTCCAGAAAGGTGGAAGAGAAGAGGAAGGATAATGCAAATGATTTTGATGGCTGATTTTCTAGTCACTATCTCCTTAGTATTTTTACCTGTATTTTAAAAAATAGAGATCATTAAGCAATTTAGGTCCTTAAGTTGGGCCAATAATTTTAAAAATTTGAGAAATAAATACACTGTGCCAGAAATGTGGTGTAAATATCCTTTGACCTTTAAGGAAATCCATTATTTTATATCCTTGATAATTTTCCTTTAGTTGATAGTTCTGCTTTATGTTATTAGAAGCACAGTTGTGCTCAGTGGAATCCTAGTCACAGCAGCTGACTGGACATGCATTTATCGATCCCCATTTGGCCTTGTACTGGTAATACTGGAATCCAGGCAGTTTTTGGCAGGGTGGTGGAAATATGCCTTAACGACCAGGAAGTACAAGGAATGGCCTTGTCAGGATTGTAGGTAAATAGGTAACTTTATGGCTTCTAAATTTTTCCTTCAGTGTTATGTTTCTATTTAAAAAAAAAAAGACCACGATTGTAAATGAGATCTGTTTCTCCTAGAAAAGTAGTTCAGATGATTTCCTTCACACTATCAAGAATATGTCACTCTTTCTCCACATTTACATTAATGTCAGTAAAGAATGCTCGTTGCTACTCTTTCTTTTTTCTTCAGAGGCTCCAGAACAGGGATAACAGACACATGGCTCCACATCCTCCTCCCACACTCACTAGAGTATCTGGGTTGGAGCAGATCTGAGAAAGGAAATGCTGATGTAGATCACAAGCTCCTGGAACCAAACACCATGCCCACTTCCCATCATCCTCCATCTCCTGGCTCGTGAATGGAGAGATGAACATGTGAATAGACGTGATACTGGCAAAGAGGCTTGGACGTGCTGTCCTATCATTTCCATCCTCTCTATCTACAGACAGCATTCTAGGTGTCCCATTTTTAATTAAAAAAATTCAAACCCATCAATTTGCAGTAAGACTCTTCTCATTAGAAACTGTTAACAGGTAAGACTCGTCACTGATGACTTCTGGCATAAAAGATTAACACATTACCTCTGCACTCGGTACACTCGAGTCCACGGAGGCACGAGGGCAAGGATCCGGGCCACCAATTCAATCAGGTCACTGGGAGAATAACTCTTGTATCTTCCCGATTTCCACAGCTCATAAAGCCCAGTTCCACGAATCACCAGGGTAGGGTAGAGTTTCAAACCATCAGGACGAAAAGCAGGGTTCTCAAAAAACTCCTGTGAATAGAGAAAATGACTTCTCCATTAGTTATATGGAGATTACCCATAGTGAAGTTTCAATCTGGGGCTGGCTTCTCTCACATACCTATGTGGTCCTTAGACTGACTTTCCTTCCTATCAAGCGAGGGAAGGTAGACAGAACAGAAACTCATTGTTTTTACAGCCTCAGTGGAGCAAAACATGTGTGTGCTGGGTGACCAAGCCCTTGCTAACCAACCCAACCCCGGTCTACTGCTGTGGTGTCATCGCATGCCACCCTCCCCGCCTTGCTTTTCTGTCTTTGCAAAGGCAATTTCCTCTGCCTGGAAATTTCATCAGTTTTTCTTCACCTAGCTAATCTTCAGGTCTCAGCTTGAATGTCAATTCTTCAGAGAGGTCTTCCTGACCTTCAAATACAAGTTGCTTCACTTAAAAATGTTTTTGGAATTCTGTATTCTTGCCTTCCTAGCAGCATCATACTGACAATTTATCTGATGCCTGCCTTCACCTCCAGACTGTATCCTCCTTTAATAATGGAATATATTTAATTGTTTAAACTTTCAAAAGTTGTGACACAGATCATCATCTGGGCTGCAAAACCTAAACTGTCTACTATATAGCCCTTTGCAGAAAAAGTATGCCGACCCCTGGATATGACTATTTTGTCCTCAGGCCAACTGGCACCATTCCTAACCCAGGATACACACAGTCCATTTGTTATCTGGACACTGAGGGATACATCTAATTCATCTACTTTGACATAGTAATTTCCTGCACTGTATCATCCCAGCTGGCTGCCTTATTTCTTTACTTGGGATGTAGCAAGGAGACATCAGGCATTCTCCTTTCTGTGACTTTGCACTGCTAATCTGCTCTTATCTTGATTTCGCTTGACATGTGATGGAGGAATGAAGGTGGACTCATACAGCTCCCTCTCACCCCAACCCTGGCATTAGTACTTAAACGGCCAGCAGTACTGTATCTTGTGAATTGTGAAAATGCTTTTTTATCTTGCACTGTTATTCTCACAGAGCTTTCCATTGTCTAACTTGGTTTTCAAAGAAATATATAACTATAGAGTTTTTGATCTCTCTCACTGATTTCTGTCACAGTCTTAAATGCTATAATCTTTGTGCACCACTTGGCTTAGGGCTATTCTTCTGTAATTGCATGTAATTTTCCCCGTAACATTTATATATTAAAGATTCATGAGGTCTTTAATATTCTGTAGCCATCCACAAGGAGTATGTATGCAAGTCACTTTCTACCTAGTCTGCATCTATATTGGAACATAGGATTTCAGTAAAGTACTTCTGGTTACTCGTGTAATAAATTAGGGGGACATATGGGCTGATATAATCCTTTCATAAGAACGATGATAGACGGAATTGGTACTGGACTTCCGGTTAAACATGAAGAATTAAAATATGTGTTTCTTTCCTTTCCTTCCAAAATCACACTGAAATAAGAGGAAATAATTTTTTTAAAAAGCATAAACCCAGAAGAACAAAGAGAATATCAGAGGAGACAGGAGGGGGAATAAGTGATAGCAATAAATTTTTGGAAGACAGAAAATGGATGGAAGATTGGTAAATGACTTTGCAAATGAAGAAAACTGTAAACAAACTATCTGCAAAGGGGGATACGGATGAAAGGGCAGCTCAGTCACACCAGAGTCCCAGGAATGAGCATGGATCAGAAATAGCAGTAATGACAGTTCTTCAGAATATAGTTATGATTCAGATGATGTGAATATTATACCAACAAAAAGACAAAAACCTCAGTGATTGATTCTGATACGGAAAGTGAAAATGAAACTCACGATGCTGGAGAATGCTCCTTTGCTTCTACAGAAGAGTGGACTGAAGACAACATTTCATGAAAATTAGAAGACTTTACAGGTGTGTCAGGTGTAACTATTGAATGTAATAACCCACAAAGTGTTAGTGAAATAACAGAATTAATTTTGATCAGCCGAAATAAAAATTGCTGGCCACAGGCATTAATTTCTGCAAGAATACCCTGGTCAGTAAGGAGTTAAAAAAAAAAAAAGGAGGGAAAATGATTTCACAGACTTCTGTAAGTGTGAAGGTATTAGAACAGAGACATTTTGGGGCATGTAAAAGGCTTACTTCCCATGATGAATCCTTTCTTAGAAAGCTGCTGGAGAATGTGTTTTAGTAAAGTAAAGGAGTAAACCAATAAAAAGGATTAACTTGGTTTCTAAAAAACAAAGGATCCGATCCTAGAGAGTGGAGAAGAGGAGCCCTAAGGAAGACCTCTGTGAACTAGGCACAGAGAACTGCCAGTCCAGTTTGGAGCTGGAAGATTAGACCTCCAGGAGTTATGTCTCCAGCCTAAAAAAGGAACTTAGAGAATATCTGATAGGGTCGGCCACTGAGAGAGGGGCTTTAACACTGAACGGGCACACTTGAAGGTTACAGATACTCAGAGAACTAATAAGCAAATAAAGAAATAAGACAATTTTATTGTTAACTCTAGGAAAAACAAAAAGTTATTTAAGAAAAGAAAGTAAGTATAGTATATTACTTGGCTCCATGCAAATAATAATAATTTATGTGAAAACTGTAATGAAAACACTGACTACTCATATAACTAAAACAGTGGCCTAATAATATTGGGAGAATGGGAGTTCAAAGAATTAACTCTTTAACTATTGTATTGGTAACAGTAAGACAAGAGAATCTCTCTACTGATAGTCAGGAAACAGGAATCCAAGCACAGAAGAAGGAAACATAGTGGTAAATACTGGGACCGCCCCCCCCCCCCTGGCCTGGCCACAACAGTAGAAAGTGGCGGAGGACTACTGTGTTTTGATGTGACCCCTTTAGGACTTACTGGATTTTCAAACACTAGTTAATAATAATTTTATTAATTAATACCTTTTACATAAAGATAAAAAGATATAAAGATAAAAATTAATTTAATAAACATCATTTTGGTGGCAATGTGGATGATACATTAGAAGAGAACATGGCTGGTGGCCGTGGGACTTAGCTAAGCAGCTGTCTACCTGTGCAGTGAGCTGACAAAAGCGTGAACTGAAGTTGTGGCAGTGGGGATGAAGAGGAGGCGACAGCCCTCAAAAATATTCAGAGGGAGTAATAGGACCTCCTGTTAGATTAGACCCACGGTAGAGGGAACAGCGACAGCAGCAGCAGCAGTGATGTACTGAGCACTCGCTATGTGCCAGGCATTCTTCTAAGCGTGATGCATGCATTACCTCTGCCCACCTTCACAACAGCCTCATTCAGAGATGAGGAAACTGAGGAACAAAGCAGGCCGTTTGCTACCAAGTGGCGGGTGGGGCCAGGATTCAAACTAGGCCCAGTCTGGCTCCATATAGTCTCTCTTTCCTTCTGAATGACTGAATGTCTAGCTTGGGAGGGTATGTGGATGATGGAACACCAATATCACAGGAAACAGAAGACAAGGAGACCACGGGGGGAATGAAGCATGTCCATATTGGACACGTTAAGTCCGAAGTACAAGTAAGACATCTGGTGCTAGTTGAAGAGTATTCAGCAATTGGACTTAAGAGCTAAGGCTTAAGGCTGGAGAGGAAATGAGATTAATTGAAGTGTAAGTGGTAAAGTTAGAACAACAGAAGAAAAGACAAGCATATAGATGAGAGCAAAAGACAGAAGCCACATTTAAGTGGTGGGAAGAAAAAGAAGATCTAGTGGAAAAGAAATAGTCCTAGAGGTTAAAAAGGGAACCAGGGGACAGCAGAGTCACAAAAGCCAGGGAGGTGAGAATTTAAAGCTGGAGAGTCTTTAACAATAACAGGTGCTAAGACTGGATAAAATGTCAGCCGAGAAGTATCCTTTGGATTTGGAGATTAGCAAGTACTTTACAATGTTTGAAAGAATAGTTTGAGAGAGAGAGAGAGAGAGAGAGAGAGAGAGAGAGAGAGAGAGAGAGAGAGAGAGAGAGAGAGAGAGAGAGAGTGTGTGTGTGTGTGTGTGTGTGTGTGTTGGCGGGCAGTGGGCAGTGAGTAGAAGCCAAGCTGCAGTGGATGTGGAGGAAGCAGGGACACTGAAGCGTTTGTAAATGACATGGGGGCACTTAAGGGAAAGGAAGGCAGGGTACTGCTGTTTTTCATTGTAGGCCTTACAGTACAATTTGACTTTTAAAATTCTGCATGTATTCCTTTGATACAAATAAAAAATAACTGAAAACGGAAAGTTCTGTTTCTGTAAGATCCAACCCGACCAGGATTTCAACATCATTCAGGTCATGCATAGTCATTCATCATAAAACAGACTTTCCTTGGCCTAAGAAGGAGACACAGAAAGGTGCAATAGAAAGGGTGCCTTCCTAAGAGCCTGCTTCTACCTGAGACTCACCATGGCCTTTAACAGTTACTTAACCGCGTCAGGTCTTGTTTCCTTATCTGAGGAGGCTGCAACAGGTGGTCTTTTCTGATATAATTCTACACTACCTGTATTCTATGATATTACCTTAAGTATCGAGCCTTTACATTAAGAAAACCAAGCAAATGAAGAAGTAACAACAACAAACACCTCTAACCATACCTGCCAAACTGTAACTTGATCACACTGGCTTTGGGGAAAAACAGCTCAGTGGGGGAAAAAAAGAACTTCTGATTGTCCAAAGGGTGGGCAAACATTAATGGACTTTGAAAGATTTCGCATTACTGACAAGAGGTTCTGGAGATAACTTTTTCAAGAGAAACTGACACTCTCTAAGCATTTTCAGCAACCTGAGCTTGGATATCCAGGAGCAGTCTAATTTTAAAAGAATAAAATACAAAAACAGCTAAAGGTTATTTTGAGTAGTAAATGATATACCATTTTGGAGACCTGAGGACAGATGGAAAGGGTGAAGTTAATGCTTGGAGGATAAATTCCTAAGATGTTAAACATTCTCCATCACAACCAGGACTTTCAGCTTATAAGAAAAAAGAAAACTTCATTTCAAAAATAAATCTCAGTTACTGAAAAATATAAGCAAGTGCTATTTATCACAAACAGCTATGAGCTCTGTACCTACCACTAGATAATTAAGAGTGTGAATCTGCAATGAACAGATACAAATGACCAGCTCTGCTCTTAGTGACCCGGAACTGACCTAAGCAACAAGGTGTGAGAGCAAAGCCAATTTATAACTAACACACGCAGGCACATAGCTGGGTAGAGGCTTTATGGATTCGCGCCAGGCAAGGCTATCTTGTCCTCTACAGATACAACATTTTTTAGACTTCTACAATTATACAAGTAGACCCTTTACTTAGCAACCCTTCCTATGGATAAAACACATTAAGGGAACTGTATCTGTGGGCTGCTAATAATGTGACAATAAAATAAAGTAGGGAAAAAAGAAGTTTTATAAGTGTAAAATATACTGCCTACTAATTCAGGAAAAGTTGTGAATTCCAAATAGGCCCAAACAAGATTTCTTAAACAAAAACTAGTTAAAAAAAATTTTAGTAAACCTTTTATTGAAATATATCTTAGTATTAAAAAAGTATACAAATCATAAGTGTACACCTTGATAGATTTTTACAAATCATGTAGCCAGCACCTAGACACTCAAATCAAGAAAAGGCACCTTATCCAAACCTCAGAAGCCTACCATATGCCTGTTTCCAGCTACAATTCCATCCAAAGCTTCTGAACCTCATATTAATAGGATTGTAATGTTAGGTAGTCTTTTGGATCTGGTTTCCTTTGCTCAATATTATGCTGAATAGAATCAGCCACGTTGTTGCATGAAGTCATAATTAATTTACTCTTATTGTTTTATGTATTTCATTGACTACACCACAACTTACAATATTTATGTATTTGACTTTAATGGACGCTTGGGTTGTTTCCAATCTGATGATACTACACTCAGTAATTTGTGACTGTGTCTTGGTAAATATGTGTGTGCATTTCTGTTGGGTAAACGTGAAGGAGTAGAACTGCTGGGTCATAGAGTATGCCTACGTTCACTTTTAGCAGATACTGTCAAACAGTTTTCTAATATGATGTACTATATTCCCACTGGCAGTAAATGAGAGTTCCAGTTGCTCCATACTCTTACCAACACTTGATATTGTCTTTTTTCATTTTAGCTATTCTTAGCTATTCTGATGAGTATACAGTAGCCATGCATTGTAGTTTTAAGTTTCATTTCTTTGAAGATAAATGACTTTGAGAACTTTTAAATTGTTTTACTGAATATTTGAATATCCTATCTGTGAAGTGTTTGTTCAAGTTTTTTTTTTTTTTTTCCCTTTCTCCTATTAGGTGGTCTGTCTTTTTTTTTTTTTTTTTGCAGTACGCGGGCCTCTCACTGTTGTGGACTCTCCCATTGCGGAGCACAGGCTAAGGACGCGCAGGCTCAGTGGCCATGGCTCCCAGGCCTAGCCGCTCCGCGGCATGTGGGGTCTTCTCGTACCAGGGCATGAACCCGTGGTCCCCTGCATCAGCAGGCGGACTCTCAACCACTGTGCCACCAGGGAAGCCCATGTCTTTTTTTTAAAATTTTAATTGATTTGTAAAAATATTTAAGACAATCTATAGATTAATTTTTCAGAGAATTTTTCTCTAGAGAGAGATCAGATTTCTCATTTTAGCTCTATTTTGTTACTCATTTGCTGGGATGCAGTTAGAAAAGGCATATGGTCTGCTCATATTCCCTGTAGGTTTCTTTGAAAAGATTATAAACAAGCAGATAAATCCGTTTACATGAAGGGCTGTCTTTGCAATATTATTTCTGAACTATTCTTTATTTTGACGACACTAAGAAAATGAATTTTAAGACTCAGCTATTTGCTATTACTTGACATATTTTTTCCAAGGGCACTTAAAGTTATGAATTCTGGTTATACCACTGGCCCACCTAGGAGCTGTGCTAAAGAAAAGTGTGTTTCAGGTGCCTTTTAGGCTTGAAGTCTGAGTGCCTGGCTAGTACTACTGAGGGGAAGATATTAGACTCAAAATCTATTACACAGTCAATATGGGGGAATTAATAACATCTGTGAATTAATGCTGTCTTATAAAATAGGCTTTTATTTGTAATTCATTGGCTTAGAAATAATAAACTTTTTAAAAGGAAAGAATTATTAACTTCACAAATAAGGCACGATGAATTCTATTGTTCTAATAAACAGAGCAAAATAAAAGCAATTTTGTGGATGAAATAACTTGATAAACACTTTCATTCTCTTCTCTAAAAGGATATCCTTAAGCCACTTTCCCTAATTGAGAATCTGAAGGAAAAAAGAGTTTTGAGCAATCTCATTTCCCAAGACAAAGCTAACATGAATCAAGCTAACATGTGACAGAGTAAAAACAAACAAACAAATAAAGAAACAAACGAACCCTAGAGTTAGGTATTAAAATTCAAAGAACAGAAAGGCTAGAGGAAAACAGAATATTTTCTTCCACTGTTTAATGAAATGCTGTACGAAAAAGGCAGTTCTAAGCTTAGAAGTATCTTAAGAAATCATCACTAAGAAAGTAAGTAAGTAAATAAAATAGATTTGACAACAGAAACAAAAGGTCAAGGATAGGTTGGGGAAAATATTTTTAACAAATATAAAAAACAATCCATAATGTTATTACCTAGAAAGTCCATATAATTAATATTAAAAATATTCATATCCAATAGAGTAACTGGTCAGAGGACAAAAACACACAATTCCAAAAAGATGAAAGAATTATACTTATTAAATACAAACCTGAAAAATACATTACTTATAATTACAAAATACAAGTTGAAACGGCACTTTTATCCATCAAATTAACAAAGATAAAATATTGTATGTGTGTGTGTGTGTGTGTGTGTGTGTGTGTGTGTGTGTGTGTGTGTGTGTGTGTGTATATATATGTATGTAGAAAATACATACATAGGAGAGAATTATTTTGGGAAAAAGATAACCCTGCTGAAATGAGTGTAAGTTGTTACAACCCTGGGAAAAACAACTAAGTAATATGGTGAGATTCTTAAAGTATTTATTGCCTTCACCTGATAATTCTACTCCAGGGAATTTGTCCTAAAGAAATAACCCTAAATACTACAAAAAATTACAGGCGTAAAATTTGCTGATGTGCAGTCTATTTACAATATCAAAAACTGATAATATCTTCAATTAAAAAAACTAGAAGTGGTTAAGCAAAGTATGGCATATTTGTTCAATGGAAATTAACTGGATATTTAAATATGTTAACCTTTTAACAGAGACCAGGCTATAACAGGAATAAATGCTTGCTATAATGTTAAGTGAAAAAGCTATTAAAATAATTACCTATCATGTACGTAAGTGTAGGTATATCTTTGTGTATCTATGTATCACCCACCTCATCCCCTAAAAAATCTTAAGTATAAAAAAATCCTGGGCGTATACTGACATGTAAAGAGTTTTATTTGGTGTCGGGGCTGTGAGTGACTGACTCCTCTTTCTCCACTGTGTTATAATGAAAATGTCTTGCTTTAATAATGGGAAAAAAATCAACAGTAAATAATCAAAGAGCAGAGAGGGTAGAAGCAGCATGCAGAGGCATTCTCAAGTAGCTTGTTTTAAGGTAACACTTACTGTAAACTGTTCAATGTCTCTCTCTAGTCCCACATTTGGCAGATCGGGCATCATATGAGCCACAACTTTGAAACCAGAATCTTTGGCCAGGTGAAAGGACTCACATACCGCCTTCACAGTGTGGCCCCTGAGGAAGAAAATTCACTACCTGTTACACAAATAAATGGGCAACAAGGTGAGTACAAGGAATAGAGGGAAAACAATCTCTGAGACAGGTAACAGTAGCTCTATAATGAAGAATATGGTTGGGGAAAAAGAAATCTTAGAAAGTCATGTTTACATCTCCACCTCTGAGAAGGCCTGGAAAAAAATAATTTTACTTCTGAGATATTTCTCAGAAATTCCCTTATGCACTTACTCAAAGTCCTGACAGTGAGTGACTGAGGTCACAGGAGTTAATATACACTAAAATTATTTGATTAGCATCATCGGCCAAAATAAGCTTGCTAATGTAAATATCTAGGTTTAAAACAAGAATAATGAGCTCAAAACCATGCAGGAGCAGCATCTTGTTATGCTCTTTCCTTTAAAAATCTTTTAACAAATAATTTCATTTGGAGAAAGAAAGGGAGGGAGTGGGGGAAAGAGAGAGACAGAGACAGAGACAGAGAGAGAGAGAGAGAGAGAGAGAGAGATACATCTATATACAAAGTAGATTTCACTCTGGTGGGTTGGAGGGCCCTAAAAAAAAAAGTAAGAAGAGAGAATGATTTAGTGACAAGGCAGAATCATTTGGGGCCAGCTGTATAAATCATCTTAACATTCTAGTGCCACATTCAAGTAAGAAGCAAGCCCGAATAATAGTTTGGGGCTACTAAAGACTGAAGCCCTGTGTCAATCCTTTCACCACCTAGCCATTCCCATTCACCACCAAAGAATCCTACAAACCATGGACTCCTTCCCACTCTCTGAAGGTTCCCATCCATTTCCATGGCTTCCATCTCTAATCTCTCTCTCTCTCTCTCTTTTTTTTTTTTTACGGTCCGCGGGCCTCTCGCTGTTGTGGCCTCTCCCGTTGCGGATCCGGATGCGCAGGCTCAGCGGCCATGGCTCACGGGCCCAGCCGCTCCGTGGCGTGTGGGATCCTCCCAGACTGGGGCACGAACCCGTGTCCCCTGCATCAGCAGGCGGACTCTCAACCACTGCGCCACCACCAGGGAAGCCCCTCTAATCTCTTTTTGCTAATGACTTCTCAATCTATATGACTGGGCCAGGCCTCTCTTCTGACACCACGCCCAAATATCCAATACTCTAATGCTGCACTGTACAATATTAGAGTCACAAGGCACACGTGGTTATTCAAGTTTATCTTTAAATTAATTCAGATGAAAAATTCAATTCCTCGGTTGTGCTATCACAGTGGACAGTGCGGGTACAGAACATTTCAGTCACGACAGAATGTTCTGCTGGATAGCCCGCTCTAAAGCAAACCTTCAACCAGTTGTCCCACAAGTATCTAAAACTTAAGTTTATTCAAAATGAAACTCATCTTCCCTCCAAGCCTCACTATTTCCCATTCTCTCTTACCCTCATTCCCACTCAGTCACCGAATACTGCTTTTCAGGACATCATTTCCTGCTTAAATTACTGCAGCAGCCTCTGAACTGACCTTGCTTCTAGCTTGGTCTCCTTAGTCCACCCTCACACTGTGATCCCCAGGACTTCCCTGCTGGTCCAGTGGTAAAGAATCCGCCTTCCAATGCAGGGGACGCAGGTGCAATCCCTGGTCAGGGAACTGAGATTCCACATGTCGCAGGTCAGCTGGGCCCGTGTGCCTCAACTAGAGCCCACATGCCTCAAACTACAGAGCCCGTGCACAACTAGAGAAGAGAAAACCCGCACGCCACAAACAGAGAGAAGCCCGTGCACCACAGCAAGGAGCCTGTGTGCCGCAACTGAGACCTGACGCAGCCAAAAATAAATAAATAAAATATGAGTCTTTTAAAATAAATAAATAAAAAAAATAAAATGCAGATATGCCTTGATCACAAGTTAGCTTGCAGCCTGGCCTTGGATTAAAGCCCAAACTTGCTAGGCTGACTTCTAAGGCGCCCCATGGTCTGGCCACCCTGCTGACCCTTTCAGCCTCACCTCTTACCACGCTCCTACCTCACGCTCCACACTCCCACCAAATGAAACCACTCCAATTTCCCGAAATGTGCCATGTGCTCCTATCCTCAGGAGCTTGCTCGTACTCTTCTTTCTGCCTGAAAAACTCTGCCTCTTCCCCACCTGACTAACTCAGACTCTTCCTGTAAGTCTCGGCTTCGATGTCACTTTCTTCGAAAAGCTTCCCTGACCTTCCAGAGACTCTTTCCACCCCCAAGGTACCTCTGTGGCGTAGCCTTGGTTACTGCAGCAGCCCTACCAGCGTTCCCGGTTCAAGCCTTCCCCGACAAGAACGCATCCTATGCAGGCTGATCTTTCTCAAGCTTGATATCCATCTGACTCTTCCTGTGCAAAATATTTAATAGACCTCTATTACCTAAAGGGAAGCATCCGCCCTCCTTAGCCTGGCACTCTTCCTGGTTGTTGCTAAGATGCTGACCCATGTGTTTCCCTAGTTTCCCTTTACTTCCTTCTCCGAGCACAACCCTCTGCCATGTCTATCCAAATCCTATTAAAGTGAAGCAGCCTTTAAGGTCCAACTCAACACAAACTTACTCCCTGAAGCCTGCCTTTATTTCTGGAGGGAAGAGAACTTCATATGGCTCCATCAACCCTTATTTCTTTCCTTCCTTAGATTCCCAAATTTCTCAAAGTTTATACCCATCACCTCACCAGCCTTTCTTTCACTACCCTACCAACTGGCATTTGCTTCACCAAAACTAATCTCTTAAATCTCACACTAGTTTCCTTCTTGTTCAAACCCTTTTCTTTGTTCCTATTCTCCTTGGCCTTCTCTCATGCTTTAAACTACTAACCTTGAGCCCTGCCCTCTGCTTTCCATATGGGAAAGGCTATTTATCACAAGAATTGGAAGAGAGATGAGCATGTTTATAGACTACTGGAAAAAAGCCAGTAAAGAAAGACTGAAAATCAAGGAAGGAGGAGATGGAATTAAGAGCACAGACAGAAGAATGAATAGGAGGAATACCTAGACCTCTCCCTGTCAGATGGGTAGTAACACACATCCAATCGGTGGGGGAAAAGGAAGGCTTGTGCAAGATGATCTGCACCGTCTTACCGGTTGGTATCTCTGGCCACATCCTCATAGACACTCTGCACCCCAATCTCCAGCCTTGTGCAGCCGTAAGTCAACATATCACTTAAATGCCGCTTCATGCAATAATCTGGTCTGGTCTCAATAGTAATTCCGATGCACTTTGTGAGGCTTCTCTCAGAATACCTGTAGAGTAAAATCGAAAAGTAAACAACTTGCCAAAGCTTTAGGACATTTGCTCTCATTTAAAGGATGTCTTCCTTTTGTCCTCCCAGCTCTAACCCAGTGGTTAAGAGCATGGGCTTGGACTTCCCTGGTGGTGCAGTGGTTAAGAATCTGCCTGCCAATGCAGGGGACACGGGTTCGAACGCTGGTCCGGGAAGATCCAACCTGCCGCGGAGCAACTAAGCCCGTGTGCCTCAACTACTGAGCCTGTACTCTAGAGCCCGCGAGCTGCAACTACTGAAGCCCGTGTGCCTATGGCCTGTGCTCTGCAACAAGAGAAGCCACTGCAATAAGAAGCCCACACACCGCAACGAAGAGTAGCCCCCGCTCACAGCAACTAGAAAAAGCCCACGCGCAGCAACGATGACCCAATTCAGCCAAAAATAAATAAAATAAATAAATTTTTAAAAAGTTAAAAAAAAAAAAAAAGAGTGTGGGCTCTGGAGCCAGACTATCTGAGTTCAAATCCTGGCTCTGCTATTTCCTAACTATGCAAACAGGAAAGTTATTAACCTCCCTGTGCTTCGGTTTCATTATCTGCAAAATGAGGATAATAGTAGCTATACCTCATGGGACTGACGTGACTGAGCCGGCACAAAGTAATGTTATCATCACCATTATCATTATTATTCTCCTCAGTGTGCTGCAGCCATAATCTCCTTGAAAGCAGGGATTTCAACTGTGAGAACCCTAATTTTCAGTTCCTAGCAACGATTTTTCATGGAAGTGAAAACCATCTGCATTATATATTTCCCACTCCATATTTTAGTTATGTTAAATAAAAGAAAACAAAAGAGGGGGGAAGGGAGGGTATGCATAATGATCATAGGAATAATTCAGATGAAATGTCTTCTATACCCACAAGTCTTTTTATCAAGCCTATTAATCTTAGCAACAACTTAACAAAATTAGGAATCATTTTTCTCCTTCACTAAAACCAGATATCAGAGTAGTGAGTACCATTTTAAATTTATTTATTTATTTATTTTGGCTGCGTTGGGGTCTTCGTTGCTGCGTGTGGGCTTTCTCTAGTTGTGGCGAGCGGGGGCTGCTCGTCGTTGCAGTGTGTGGGCTTCTCACTGCAGTGGCTTCTCCTGTTGTGGAGCACGAGCTCCTGGCGCGTGGGCCTCAGTAGTTGTGGCACACAGGCTTAGCTGCTCCGCAGCATGTGGGATCTTCCCAGCCCAGGGCTCGAACCCATGTCCCCTGCATTGGCAGGCGGATTCTCAACCACTGTGCCACCAGGGAAGCCCATGAGTACCACTTTAGATTCAAGCTAGAATCTAGAAGAGGAAAATGACTTGCTAAGTGGTCTGCTGATACAATGGAATAGGAACCATTACCTAGAGGCCACTGCGGCCAAGCACTGCACTATATACTCCACACGCACTGAATGCTCCCGTTAGCTCTATGAAGTATGTCTTATTATCCCCATTTTACAGATAAAGAAACTGAAGTTCCTAAAGTGATTAAATACTTTGTCCAAGGGTACAGAGCTCATAAAATCCAAGTCAGGATTTGAAGGTAGGTCTGTCTGACTTCAAAAATCCTGCCCTGTGTTTCACTCTATCACATGGCTTGGACAATTCAGCATGGGACATCAGATCTGTCCTCTCTTCAACTTCTCCTAGAACGAAATAATTCTTCTCAGTGTACCCTTCTACAACTTTCTCAATTCTTCGGGCAGGGTGAGGGAAGCCTTTTTTTGCCACTTAATTTCGTCTTTCCAAAGAAGTTCATAGCTTTTTTTCTTGAAAAATAAAAATCATAAAATTTCCATAGTTTTGTAACTACTGTTCTCCTTTAAGTTCATTATTGACAACTCATAATTGTCAATAAAACTGACTTATCTAATTTAATAATAATTATTAAGAAGGTTACGAATTACTGAACTGAAGGACTGATTCTGAAGTCTTTCACTCTAGACATTCAAAGTGTTTACACTATTACCCTATTCCTAAGGTTTTATATAGGATTACTACAGGCAGCAAGAACCAAAGGTAAACAACTAATCTATAGTTACTAAACAATGAATCATAAGACAAAAAAGGGCACAGATCTTATCAAATCTTGCCTCTGACAGCTAGCTTCTCTGAAACAATCAGATCAGAAAGTCTCATGCCTCTCAAACAGGTGGGTCCCAAGGCATGCAGAATACATGTAACTCATCTTCTTCGAATACCAATTATTGTGTTTGGAGAAAACCATTGTTTTAAAATATTAAGGGACTTTCCTGGTAGTCCAGTGGTTAGGAATCTGCCTTCCAGTTCAGGGGACGTGGGTTTGATCCTTGGTTGGGGGAACTAAGATCCCACATGTCACGGGGCAACTAAGCCCGTGCACCACAACTACTGAGCCTGCGCTCTAGAGTCCGCGAGCCACAACTACTGAGACTGCACGTTCTGGAGCCTGTGCCCCGACAACTAGAGGGAAGCCTGTGTGCCACAACAAAAAAGATCCTGCGTGCCACAACGAGGATCTTGCGTGCTGCAGCCAAGACCCGATGCAGCCAAATAAAATAAATAAATAAATATTTTTTAAAAATTTAAAAAAAGAAAACACTAATGTATTATGGAGAAAGCATATTGCATGACAGCTGAAAAAACCAAAAAGCGGAAAACTCTAAGTTTTGAGTATATTTAACAAAGTAAGTGAGAACATTTTACAATCAGGCATTCCAAAATTGTATCATAAAACCTCTCTATTAACTGATATTTTTATAAAACCCACAGTATTTCCTGGGACTTCCTTGGGGGTCCAGTGGTTAAGACTCCATGCTCCCAATGCTGGGGGCAAGGGTTCAATCCCTGGTCAGGGAACAAAGATCCTATGTGCCGCAAGGCGCAGCCAATAAATAAATAAATAAGTAAACACAAACAAACAAAACAAAACAAAAAAACAACCCACAGTATTTCCTAAAAGGATGCCATTAAGTTATCGGCAAAGTTGGCAGCACAACAGTACCTAGCAATACTAAAACTAGAGGACAGGCAACTGCACAGATGGGAATTCATCTAGAGGAAAGAGAAATCCACTAGCTAATCTCTATTGCACCGATCATCAAAGGCCCAAGCAAGACTGATAGAGAAAGCTGCTGCGAGGATGATAAGGACTCTTCATAAGTAGTTAGAATGTAGTGCAGGACATAGAGGCAAACCTTATTCGCAAACAATAATTTAACTCCATTTCAAAAGTGTCTTTCCTCTTGGGGAAAATGTCATTACCTTTTGCAGGAGCAGAAATGGAGGAACAAAAAATAACTCATTTTTAAAAGCCAATATTTTCTATTTACCACTATCTTTCTTTCAGAATTGTATTTTCATCTGAAAAGCAATTAAGCAGAAATACCTATCAAATTTGAGCAAAAACAATGGAGTATTTTCTAAAGAACAGAATATAAGGTCATCTTATACAGTATAAGGTCATTTTTTAAAGGATTTTTGTTAATGCTATATTTAGTTCTACATATCACTAATTTTCACCTCTTCATTAAAGAGAGATGTAAAGATATCAGTATGATTGGTTTTTTAAACAATTGCAAATATGTTCATAAAGGCTGTCAACTAATCTAAGCAAGATATCTGAGCTGGCATTTTATGGCCTGCTATAACCCACCACACTGTTTAGACAGCCATCCGACAGTGTGGCTCTCATTTACTACTGAGTTCAATTACCATACCATTGGGCAGCGGGGAGAGGCAGACTTGTTAAATTCTTGGGCGTTTAGGAAACGTACCAAATTTTCCAACCCTGATCATGAGCTTCTAAGAGACAAAGTCAGGACTTGTACCCAGGTCTTCTGATTCCAATTCTCAACAAAATCTTATGTTCTGTATAATGCTGTGCTAGTGATATTCCAAACTTAAGAATGACTGAGTTGAATGTCTGAGAATTTTAAAATAACTATCTTTTCCCTTTTGAGATGGTGGTCAAGTCTGCTTCCTGGATATTGGCAGTTATGTCAAGAGGGTCTATAACGTAAGGTTCTGCCCAACACAAACTGAGGAAACAGACAGGAACAGAAGTTCAATTTTTAAATGAGTACAACCTATGAAAAACTCACCTGGTAACATAGCTTAGAGAGTAATCAGGGACCTTTGGTCCCTTATCATGCTAGTTGACAAGGTTTAAGATATATGAAAAACAACCCATAACAGTTTGGGTTTTGATTCTTTCAGTAGCCGACAAGAATGCTACCATTTTATACTCCTAATCAGACAGCTGAAGAGCCAACAGCAATGTACTATTAATAGAAAAAACCAATCATGGTTATTACACATTCTTTTAATATTGTATTCACATTCAAATTTAAGGGCTATACACATAAATGCATTATAGAAAAGTTGTCATTGTCAGAAAGTGACTGCTAGATGAAAAATAACCTTTGAGCACATCTTTTAGATAAAAATTCCCATTCCAGTAGAAATCTTCAAAGCATACAATGTCACAGAAAGAAGTAACTTTAGAAATAATATAGTCCTGCCTCCTCATTAATAATGTAAGATAACAACAGAAATGTCTGGAACCTAATTCTTAGTGCACAGTTCTTCCCACTGCACTCATTTAACAATGTTTTTTAAGTAGAGTAAGTCCCCTACATACAAACGAGTTCCATTCCAAGAGCACATTCATAAGTCCAATTTGTTCATAAGTCCAACAAAATTAGCCTAGGTACCCAACTTTTACAGATAATGCCAGACACATGAACTAACTTACGTGACTGGACATGCAAACGCATGTTCACATCTTTGAAAGTTCGCAACTTGAAGGTTCGTATGTAGGGGACTTACTATACCTTCTCTCCTCAAGGAATTGTGTTAGATATGACAGACCCTCTCTCTTAAGAAGACATTCCCTATTAAAGGATATAGAAAAAATGCATTGCACAGAATTAGACAATAATGGTATTCAGTAAAACCATTACTCTTGGCTACTGAAAACCAAAGTGAGGGAGTGACTAA